AGGATCTGACCCCTGTGCCTACGAAGATTCGCACAGGTGCACTGCCTGGTTTCAGTTTGCAAACTCAAATGTGTGGGAATCTGTTTATTCCAGAAAAATTATGTGGCACTCCTGTGTTGAGAAAGGGTACCCGGGGTGTGCAAGCCCTTTTGAGCAAGTTCTCTGCTCCTCCGCAGCTCCTGGGACACCTCCACCCTGTGAATGAGCTAAAGTGGAGAGGTGCTGCTCACCCAAGTGCACACCAGGTACACAGGCTATGCACATGCAGCTCCGCTCTCTGCATCTGTTAACAACAAATTAAAAGGCCTGGCGTATGGGTGCTTGCTGTTTGACTAGGGAGCTGGGAACCTGAGTCCTGAAAGCTGTTTTTGTGGCCACAGACCTAGGCGGCTGGATCAAGTGGACCACCCCATTGAGTGGCCCAGAGGCCTGGGGGACACGGGTTGGTGCTGGGCTCAGGCCTGGATAACTAGGAGCCCTTGACATTAGTGTCTGCCCTGCAAAGCCCCAGAGGGAAGGCAAGCCAGGGCACCTTGGGCTGTGTACCAGCAGGGACACTCAGCTGGAGCCTCTTTGCTGTGGTCTCCCAGGCTGGAAATCTCCAGAGGGCCGTTTCAGGCAGAGAGATGTGGATGCACCAGGGCACCCTCCGCAGGAACTTGGCCACCCTCTCAGTTCTGCTTCCTTCTCTCACCCCACTCTCAAATTGACTTCTATGAATCAGCCTTCCCTGGAGCAGCCCCAAACTCTAAGGTGGCCAGATGTGATCTACAGACCCTGCCCAGGCCGAGGAGGCTGTGAGGGCCCGAGGGGAAGCCTGGGTTCTGTCTTGGAGGCAGGAAGAGCGAGTGAGCCAGCGGTCACCGGTCACCATTGTTCCTGGGGCAGTGGGCTTGAGAGCTTCTGTTCTTGTCCATCCACCTGTGCTTGCCCCATCTTTTTTCCAATTCTAAGGCAGTCCTGAGGAACACGATCTGATTTGCCATTGTGTTTGGGTTATTGCATATCTGGAAAAGTAAACAGGAGTGTTCAAATCACTTGATTTGTTTTCTGTAAGCAAATAATACCCAAAAGTATGGCTGTAATTTACCACGAATTAAAATTGATTCTTTTCATCAGGCAAGAAAATAGGAAAATGTGAGATCGTTAATTATTGAGGGAGGCGCTCCTCATTAAAGGGAACAATGTTACAATTCAGCATTTAATAGCAGGAATGTGAATAATAACGCGCCATATTTCAGCCCACTGTCTGCAAAGAAAAGAGAGCGGTTTACAAACAACCCAAGCAGCCGAAAGTTACATTTAATAAACACCAGAGGTTTCTGTAAGTGGAAAAAGCAATTAGAGCCTGGGCACACTACCCAATTCTTCCACCATCACCTAGTATACATTTTTATTCTCTTTCTGTCTCTGTCACCACAAAGGATACACAATGAATGCAGAAATACAATTAAAGAGAAAATCAGAATTGCAGCGCTAAGCTGCATAACTCCATCTCAAAAGTGCTGCGGGACCAGGTCCCACTGCAGTCCCACCCCCAGTTCAGCTACACCATGTTCTCAAATCTTGCTCTGGACCGGCGGGTGGTGCGGGTGGCAGCGTGGCAAGGCAGAAGGAAAGACACAGATTGTGTACTTGCTGTGTTTGTAATTTACATAATCAGTCATCAAGACTTTGGTTTTTTAAAAAAATATGACTCCCAGAAAGCTGGCTTCTCTCACAGCCAGCGAGTTTCCCAGCTCTGTCTGGGCACCCGGCCGGCAGGAGCCCGGAGCCGGCTCCGCGGCCTTTAAATGCTCTTTGTGCTTCGTTAAAAAGGAGAAGGGGTGGGGGAAGAGAAGGAGAAAGAAAAAATGATTTCCCTGTGCATCGCCCCTTGGCAGGCTCTTGTACAAAATTCAATCTCTATTTTTTATGAGAAGTAAACTGTCTAAATAAATTTTATTAGGGGCAACCAATATATTTTCTGGTAGTTCCCTTTGTTCCACTTCTACGTGTGTGTAACAATCTAAAACCTATTTATTGAGGAAAAATCACTGGATCCGTCATAGAAAATCCTTTTACTTTGCTGTGAAGTGATTTCTGAAGACATTCTTGTCATTCCGAAGATTTGGGGGCCATCGCTCCAAAGCCTTGCCTTGTTAGGGACTTCAGTTCCCTTGATCATGTGGGAAATGCTTTAAATTATCAACAGCACTGGGCCTGACCGGCACTTTCCCGGCTGCCCCAGGAACGTGGGAAGACGTCGGGAATAAAACTCGGGGAAATACAGCTCTGGCGTTGCCCAGGTGGAGCCAGACGTGGGCCAAAGCGAGCTGCGGGAGGCAGAGTCTGGCACCCGCGGGGCTGTCGTTCTCCTCGCCACTCCCGCCGGCCCCGGCTCTGCCCGGCTCCCCTGCTGCGCCCTCCCCACGCGAGGCCACCCACGCCGCCCACCCCTCCCACGCGGGGATTTCTCTCGCTCTTTTCTTTCTTCCTCCCCACGCTTATGTTCCGAAGTCTTGGAAGAAATGATTTAGTTTGTTTATACTGCTATAAAAATCAAGACCAATAGAAAAGTCATAAAATGAAGCGGGCTATCAATCACGCCGCAACATTGTTATTCAGCGGTTACTAACAGAGATGGATAATCCTTTGATTTCGTCCCATTGTTATTACTCTGATATATCTTCACATTAACTATTACACATTTATTTATCGACCTGAAACATACAACAAAGCAGAATCTACGAGCGAGAGCAGGTGGAGGACGTGGCCCGGCCTGGCGGAGCGGGCGGCCGTGGGCGGGACACGCGAGCTAGTGTGCGTGCGCTCGGGTGCGGACCCGCAGCCCTCGCCCCGCCACGGGCCCTGGGTGTGACCTCTTCTCCCTGGATGTGGAGCCACTACAGTGTGGCCTCGGGCCTGCCCGTTTGGGGGAGCGGGGTGCAGATGCCCGGCTTCCCTATCCCTCCTAAGCTATTCTCCCCACTTGTGCCCTGCCTTCCAGCCGGGATACCCCAAAGCTCCGTCCAGGTGGGAAGAATCCCCCCGCGAGTCCCTGGACCTGTGCGTTCGCTGGACCCTGGCGTGCGCTTCGAGCTGGGTCCTCAGTGCCCACCGCCCGGCCCGGCTGCTGTCCTGTCTCTGCCCGCCGAGCGCTCCGGTGCTTTAGATCCCCAAAGTGGGGTTTGCTGGGAGAGGGAGCTTTTCTTGGAGGGGCTCTGTTTGCTTTGGGTCTTGGAATTTTCCCATCTACTCCCAGGTGGAACCTTTCTCGAAAGGGCACCTGGTGCATGCCAAGCGCCCTCGCATCTCCGCCAAACTCGACTCCACCTCGGCCGCTTCGGCACCCGCAGAGCCTCCTGGCCAGGACGGGACTTTCCGGAAACGCGGTCTCCAAGGCTCTGAAGGAACCTGTGAGCAGATCCCCCCTCCGCGCATTCACACGTGTGTGTGCAGGGGTGAGCGCGCACACGCACGTGTGTGTACACGGAAGGCTGAACGGGCTGCAAGAGAGAAGGAGAAAACAAAACTACCCCCAGAGTTCGCCCTGCCGCCTCCTTTGTCTCTTTGCTCGGTCCCTGTCACACACACAGCTGAGGACACACACACACACACACACACACACACACAATTCCTCTCGCATCTGCTCTCAGCCAGCATTTACAATGTTTTGTGTAAGTCAATTGGACGGCGAACAAAAAAAGCCATTTGCTCAGTATTATTTAAAACAGACTTCATAGGGCCACCCTTTTGTGGAAGCTTTATTTGCACTAAATGAATAATCTTAATTGCATCACTCTTGAATTAAAAATCAATGTTAATCAAGTTGGAAGTAGTAAATATCAGTTTTCATTGTGCCTGGGTAGAGGGCATTTTTCTTGTGTTGCAAATAAAAATACAAGTCAAATAACTTTAAAAGGGCATTATATTCTGCTACAAATACAATTGAAACGGATTGTTTAGGAGCAGATCAGAAATGGTACAGAATTTTGCACTTAATTTCCTCAGTTATCATTTACAATAAGAACCTCTGGGCTTGACAGCCAAGTCTAAACAGTAGTAAATTAGTACAAATTTATACTGATTTTACTCTAATAATCGTAATAAAAGCTTATAGATTTGGCACTAATTACATAAATGCCTAATGATCTTGAAAATTACTCTGGTTAGAAATATATTACTAATCTAAACTTTGTTGTTGGCTGGCTCTGAAAAATCAGAACATTAGAAATGGTTCGCTTCACTTGTGCAAAGCACTTTAAATTGTTCAAGTAGTATAACATATTCAAGAGGAAAATAAAGAGCATTTAACTTTATTTACAGCCTTAAGTGGAGTTGGGAGCCGAGCTGAACTTAGAAACTTTGACCACAAGAGCAGGTTAGGGGCCAGCCCGCGAACAGGGCCGGGCCGGGCGGAGGAGCGGATCTGAGAGGCAGCCTCCCAGGAAGGGTGCGGAGAGAAGGGACGCGCGCTGCTCGCGGTTAGCGCAACAGAAGTCTGGCACCTGCAGCGCAGGTGGAGCCAGCTCCCCTTTGAGCCGTAGGCGGGCTGTGGGTTGGGCTCTGTAGGCCCCGGGCCCAGCCTGGGCGCCGGGATCCTTGGCGCGGGCCTGCTGAGCAGCGGCGAAGTCTGGGCTCGGTGTGCAGGCCGCGGGGTGGACCACAGCAGGCCAGTGCGGCCCAGGCCGCGCGGGCGGGGCGACTTTTGGGTCACGCTCTGCTCTGGTCTCTGCCCTAGCCCTGCTCCTGGAAGAGTCCAGCTCTGAGAGCCGGCGCTGCGCCCGGGAAGTGGGCAGGGCAGGACCAGGAGAAAGGAGAGTGTGCCTGAGAGGAGCCCAGGGAGGCACTGACAGGCACGCCCGGAGGCCGAGGCGGCACCGCTGCTCCGCTGCTCCCCGGGCTGAGGCTGCTAGGGCTTCGGCCGCCGCCTCCTCCGGGCGGGCGGGCGGGCGCGCGGGCGGGCGGAGTGGGGGACTCTCCCGGCGCTGACATTTGCAGGCTGCCCTCCTGATTGGTCCCCTCGCCGAGCTGCTCACGGGTTCATTCAACTGTTAAGCACCTCCCCGTCTCTCTAAAGGACATTATAATGCAAGAAGCCCCCTTTTTAACCACAAACCGAATTTTCTTTCATTTAGGTGATCTATATATATCTATATCGTATAGCTTATAGCTTATATCTATTTTAAATAACTTAAAGCCGCTAAAATTTGGGGGGGAACAGCTTTCGCCCTGGAGCGGTGCGCGATGCTGTCTCACGCCGACCTCCTGGACGCCAGGCTAGGTGAGTGCGCGCCTCGTGCCCCGGCAAGCAGGAGAAGCCGGGGCAGGAAATTGTCAATTTGTTCCTTATTTTACCTTAATGCGCCCTAAATGGACTAATTTCTTTAAAAGTAATTGTGCTGTATTAAAGTTTAATTTGATTTAACATCCTCTTTAAAAAAAATCTATGGAATATGTAGAACTGGAAAAGGAGTTCGGGAATGTTGCTACTTTTTGTTTTTCTCATCTTTTCTCCCCCCTCCCCTTTATTTTTTTTTTCTTCTGAAAGGCGATCTGCCGTGTGATAATTTGTTTAGAGATGTTTCTTTTTCTTTTTCTCTCACGTTCGCTTTGATTTGGGATTTCCTTCTTCTCTTTCTTCCCTTCTTTTTCTCTCTCCCCATCACCTGCTTCTCTCCTCCTCGTCTAAGTAAGGTTGAATTTGTTTTAAAAAGAAGGTGGCGTGAAGGAGGAGCTGCTCCCATCGGGGCGGATTTGCTAAGTGTGCTGGTTGAGAAGGAGAAAAGCTCAATTCATCCTCACAGGCAACGCTACCTTCTGCAAGGGACTCGGCCTTTCCAATGGCTGAGCAGAATGCGCCTTGTATTTCTACTGAAAGAAAAGTTGAATCTTCTCAAGTCTGACTTGCTGTTTTGTCTATGGAGTTTACGGGGAGTTTCTTTAATACCATCTGGGCTCAGGGTTTCCGGTTTGGGAATCTTCAGTGATGGATGTGACTCCATTTCCCACTTTCTCTGAATTGAGGGGGAGGCGGAGCTGATTTGGGTTGATTTGGGGGGGGGGTGTAAGGTTTGGAGACTTATTCATCTTCTAAAGTGAAAGGAAATCCGGACAGAGGCAGAGTTCGGCAGTCTGCCTAAGTTCAGGTGGGGCCGCGGCGGAGGAAGCGTTTAATTTTCTTTCTTTTCTTCCACCCCTCGGGTCTAAGGATTTGTTTTCGATTTTCTGGGGGCGTCGGGGGTACAGGCTTTGAAAGGGCATCGGAGGCATCTTTTATTGCTGAGCCTGAGAGTGTTTTATTGCGGGAGAAAAGAAAGCCTGTGCTTGTTTCTTACCGGAGCCCGTTGCGGAGAGAGGGGAATGGACCAGGAGGTGTTGCTGTGGCGTGGCTGTCCGAATCCCGGGGAAGCCGGCCTTGCGCCCCGGTAGTTTCGTCCTTGGGGCGAGCGTGGGTGCGGAGAAAGCCGAGGATGGGGCTGAAGGAGGAGGACCACGCGGGGAAGATAGCATCTCAGTAATGATCACGACCCCCTTGCCTCCTCAGGTATGAAAGATGCCGCCGAGCTGCTGGGCCACCGGGAGGCGGTGAAGTGTAGGCTGGGCGTGGGGGGCTCCGACCCCGGGGGCCATCCGGGGGACCTGGCGCCCAACTCGGACCCAGTCGAGGGAGCCACTCTGCTGCCCGGGGAGGACATCACCACCGTGGGGTCCACCCCGGCTTCGCTGGCGGTGAGCGCCAAAGACCCGGACAAGCAGCCCGGGCCCCAGGGCGGCCCGAACCCCAGCCAAGCCGGCCAGCAACAGGGCCAGCAGAAGCAGAAGCGCCACCGGACGCGCTTCACCCCCGCACAGCTCAACGAGTTGGAGAGGAGCTTCGCCAAGACCCACTACCCCGACATCTTCATGCGCGAGGAGCTGGCGCTGCGCATCGGGCTGACCGAGTCCCGAGTGCAGGTATGCAAGGCGAGGAGGAGGCGGGAGTATTTGTGCGAAGGGAGCCGGGTATTTCTCTGCCCTCCCGGGAACCTGGCTGCGCTCCGGGCACTTTTGCACTCCAGGGTTGAGCTAGCTGTTTTTCTGCCCAGACACTAGGCCCGATCGCCATACCCCAGTGGCCACTCAAGGCCAATTTCCCACCAGTGTAGCCACAACCCCGTCGAAACTCCTCACAGCGAAGTCCGAATTGTTGGGCGCCACCCGTCCGACTCCTCTCCAGAGACAACTCCGCTACTCCGAGGGAGGCGACTGGGCCCGGCGCGCTCCTCCACTCCAGTTCACAGTATTGACAAGTATTTTATTGTCCCTAATGAGCTTGTGTGAAGCATTTGGGTAAAAGGGGGAACACAACAATCGTACAGAAAACGAAACGAGAGGAAACGAGGCGAAATGAGCTCCTTTAAAAAAGCTACATCACCATTTCTCCCCGTGACTTTATTTTCCTAAATATTATTCTCTTGCCACTCTTAGACGAAATACCCCTTTGATGTTTGCAAGAGGTTTGCACTTTGGTAGTCTACCAGTGCGCAGGCCTGGAGATCCTCGAAGCCTGTGAGCCCTGGATTTTTTGTTTGTTCGTCTGTAATCTTTTAGATTCCCCCAAGGAAACTGGGAGGGAGGGGAAGGGTGGAAAAACGAAGATTTTCTATTGTAGATAGCCGACCCAAAGAACGAACATTTAGGGTGGAAAAGGCTGATTGGCAGTAGACAAATCAGTCTTAACCCCTTATTTGAACCGAACCACCCTCCACGTTGTAAATTATATACAGTGTATCTAGAGAATCAGATGTATAACTTTTCTGAAAATTAAGGAATAAAATAATAAGCCTGATTAACTCCAGATTTTTTTACGGTTTCTAAAGAACTAAAACAACATCAAATATTTTACGGATGCGTGCCTGGGAGTGAAATGCTAAACGCACTTTGTTTTTGAACTATCCAGGGTGCTGAAAATGTCCTCTGACTTGGGACAATGGTATTTTCAGTCCCACATCCTGAGTGTCAGTCTAACGAGTACATTAAACCAGTGCCACCTGCTTTTATAAATTAACTGTAAAGATCTCAGTTACTTTACACTTGATCTAAAAAGTGAACAACGAGGGTGTCCATAATCACAGTGTTGAATATTTCCATTTTCACTTGACATCTTAAAGATAGTCTATACAGGGAAAAGTAATGAAATCTTCTGTTCTAATAGTAAATGAATATCACTGGGAACTTAAAATTAATTAAGGAATATTCAGGGTATACTACAATGATTCAATATAAGTCTGGGTGGTTTTGTTAGTGAACTCTGAAAGACCTGAACCATGGGGCACTGAAATTACACACCAAATGAATGTTAACTGTATTGTGCATATATA